TTGCTTCCAAAGTGTGTAAAACTCAAAAAGGAGAAAGAAAACACACATCAGTAGTTTAGCCAAGAGTGATGCTGTGTTATCTCAGCGACGAGCTGCAGAGTTCTCTGTATCAATCTGTTTCAGCTTACTGCAGCTGTTGTTAGAACTGCTCTTAGCCCGCCTTGTTACAACATGCAGTAAACACTGACTGATGTATTTCTATTCTATTTTGTATGAGAACCAAAAATATCATTCGGTGGGTAATTTTGTAATATAAAAATGATATGCGAATACACCATCTGGTCATGCATCTGGTCCTGCTAAACATGCCAGTGATACACATGATGATTTCTACTGAAAAACTGGTTCTACCGCTTTTTTAAAAACACTTTTTTTTTTTTTAGCAATTCAGGCGCTTTCAACAGCCCTTGATTGCTGCTGAGCACTCTGCACACTTATAAAGGCATTGTGGAGGAGATGGGAAAGTAGGGAACAGGATGATCTTTGATGGAACAAAAGCACAGGGAGTGGAAATGAGGCAGCTTGTAGCCTAAGTTCTGATAAAAGGACTTAGGCTACAAGCTGCATTAAAACTCATTCAACCTCCTGACACGTCTTGTTTGTGTGCTTGGAGACACTAAACTAACTGCATTCACACACATACAAGCCAAGAACCACTCACAGCAGCATGTTTTAATGTCTTACTTTAAATCAAAAGAAATGGTCAATAATTTTTAAGAAGATGCAGAAGATCAGCACAGTTTAATGACATCAAAWCCAAGTGAATGTGAATTTATCAACCTCACGTTTTCCATGAAGATATTTTAACTCAGTTTCAGCAGTGTTTGGCCTCCATAAATTCTGTTTTTCTGTCAGAAAGGACGCTGTCAGACATGTAGTTTGATGAAGGTTGCAAAGCAAATTTGATGAAGGATTAGTGCAAACTGCGATCGGTCTGTTGTAACGACTGGAGGATCATTTTACACGCTGTTGCCAAAACATGAGCCAAAGATACTTTCCTCCTTCATCTTATAAAGCCATGTTTAGTCGTTCTAATTTTTCTTTAATTCATGGTACATTAGTTTGAACGGAAAAAGCATTTCTCTTTTATTGTCATCGTTAGTTATTCATACAAGCTTTAGGTGTTGTATTAAAAGAAATAGATATTCAAAGTACAAGTTCAAATTGGCACAAAACCAATGCCAAGGATTACCACAATCTCTTCAGTACTGGACCATCCACTCAAACCACCKTCTGTAACCTGAGCAAAATGGCCCGAGTTGTGTCACAATTAGTTTTATATTTATTTATTGTTCAAGCCACACCCGGGGAATTGATATCGTGGTAAATAACAAAGCTCCAAGYGCGATTCCAGTATCTGATCTTTAGGGTGCTTAGCCCCCAGCAGGGTTCGGGCCCAAGGGAAGATTTTCATTGGTGCAATTTTCAAAATCTCCCTGTTTAGTTACATACATTCACATACGAAATTTGATCATTTTGTCCAACTAAAACAGTTAACCACTATATACTGAATAAAAAATTGAATGAAGCCTAGATCATACCTGCCAACATCTGCTAATGTCAATGACAGATAAATACTCATGTTAACAAGCAGCTGTGGAGTGAAGCAGTCCTAAGGGGGTCAGGGTTCAGGGCATGTCCCCCGTCCCCAATACCCACCGTACCCTCAACCCCAAGAATAAAAAATAATAATAATCTACTCAAAACCAAGCATTTTCCAGCCATTTTGAAGAGCATTTTACTAAATTCGTAACATCAAAAAAGCAACCTAAAATTTTAGTATCAAAGTAGGYCAGTGAAAATTAGTCTTTAACCTGAACTTTATCTGAAAACCATACATAGAATTACATCATGTTTATTTTTTACCTGAATGTCACATGGCTGTGAGCCTACACTCTTTTAAAAAGGAAKCTATGTCCAAATGTAGACATTATGGATCAGGGTTTTGCTGTTTCAGTTTACTATTAATGAGGTGGGTCTATTCACAGGAAAATGAACCTGCTAATTTTAGCTTTTTTTTCTAATTTTTACTTTTTTCCACTCATTCAGCTATAATTCTGCTTCTTTCTGCTATTCTTCTGTTTTTTCCTACTTTTTTGCACTCCTTTCTGCTAATTTGAGCTATTTCTGCTTCTTACAGTTGTTTTACATTCAGCTATTTGCTACAATTTTAGCTACTTTTTAACTGTTGTTAGCCAATGTTAGCTTTTAAAAGCTAATTTCACTTTTGAAGCTAATCATACCTTTAGCTTGTTTTTTGTTTTGCTAATTTTAGCTTTTTTCTGCTATTTCAGCTAATTTCTAATGTTTTCTACTTGTTTCGGATTTTCACATTGAACTGGCATTAATTATTTTGCTATTAAACTTTTCCAGCTTCATTTCAACTAAGCTTTTCAGCAAGAAACATTCACATTAGCATTTTCACAGGAAATTCAATTTCTCTAGTTATTTTAACTTTTACTTAATTGTTGATCTTAATTTATATGCCTCTGGCAGCTTCTAATCTCCTTGCCTTTCGCGGGGCCTAAACACAGAGGTGTTACATAAATTGATGTGGGTGAAGTTTTTGGTTCCGGGGTATTACCTCTAAAATGGTTAAAATTACAAATCTCTTACACTGTCTACATCTCCTCTATTTTTGACAACCAAGCATTTCCATTTCCTTTCCTAATCATAGCTTTGTCTTCCTCAGATGTTTCAATCTGTCTTTGTTCCTAGTTGTCTTCTTCTCACATCTTTTATCCCTATGTCACTCACTTGTTCTCCCCATCACTCTAAAAAATCAGTTTTCAGTCTTGCTAAAATGATTTCTGTCATCATATCTATCTCCACCTGAATTTTTGCTAACAAAGCCTAAAGTCACATCCAGGTCATTTTAATCTTTAGCTATTAACAGCATTTTATAGCTTTCTGTTTTTTTGTAGAAATTTGTAAGAAAACAGCTCCGTAATAGATGTGTATCTCTCATACTTTAGCCTTTTCCCATTTCAATTAATTCTCCTCAACCTTTTCAACTACCAGTTCGATCTTTTGGAGGCAAAATCCTCCTGTAACAATGGTCATTTCTCTCCAGAGGACCTGGAGTCATCAAAGCACAGAACTCATGACTCTGTCAGGTCTCTGTAAATAGCAAACTGTTGAAGCATGTGAAACGAAAGGAAGAAAAATGGAATTCTCTTCCAGAGGAAAGATGACGATTGAGATTTGCGGATGCAGAATTTATTTCTCTGACAGATAAAAGAATGGACGTTGCGAAATTGGTGGGAATTCTGTGTCCCAGCCTGTAATTGTCATCAATACGCTTTAAAGTGCGTCTAAATCCAACGGGCTATTTTCTGATAAGATCTACCATGCGCACATTTCTCCCAGCACATAAAAACAAACCTGTAGGACAGTGCAGTCCTGATKGCAGTTTCAGTTAGTGTTTGTTTGCAGCACAAGAATCCAGAGTTGAGCTCAGATTAGAGCTGGTGGGATGTGAGAGTAGGATGTGGCCTGCTAAAGCTTTAGGGATTAGGAAGAAAACTAAGCAGAAAAAGGTGTCAAAGATAATTTGTGTATAGAAGTAAAAACCTTTAGAGCGTTTGCTACTTGGGTTGTTTTGATACATTTCAAACATATTAAAGTGTTAAAGGAGACATATCATGCAAAATCCACTTTTTTAGCCGTTAAATACATTTTGTTGTGTAGTCGCTCTGGAAACTGGAGGGGGGCGGGGTGTGAAGCGTTTGGATTTAAAGAGACAGCCTTGAAACGCGTTGATCTGAGACACACATCAGAAAAAAGGGTGACAGAGGGGCTTGTGGAGTTACAATAAAGAGGAATTCAGACCAAAGCATTGAAGTTCCACMTTATATAGACCCCAACTGAATGATTTAAGTGTGGAAAAAGTAGGATTTAAAAGCAAGCTATGTCTCTTTTACTCTACAAATGGTCTCACAGTTAAACTGTTTCGCTTCCCAAGCAAAGCAACATTATGTGATTTACAAAGCAGCTGCTCACTACACGAGGCAGGGTTCTCTGGTTGCTAAAAAAAAAAAAAAAATCCAGCAGGTTATAAAATCTGTTGGTTTTGTATGAGATTTGACAAATGAGACTCTAAATTCTTTTCATATTACTCTCCGAAGGTTTAAAGGACACGGAAGTGAGGGCTAAATTGCTTTACACCTCCTCATGGGTCCGGGCAAATGACTGTTGATATTTAGTGACATTTCCATCCTGTCCAAATGATATTGCAAGCAAGGATTCAGCAAATGGTGAGCATCGGAAAAAAACTTGTTTTATCCTGTTATGTTTAAACATTTGTTTCTCTTCTGACTATGAGGTAATAAAAAGGAGAAAGTAATGCATGCAGTCAGTCCTAAACTAAAGTCAAACCCGACTCTTGGATCTGTGGTAATTTAAAGCATTATTTTTGATTGTGCACATCGCAGTCTGAAGGATCACATGGGTTCAGGCCATTAGTAGCAGCTGACAGAAGCCTCTTAAATCTACTCAGAATTAAATAAAGACGCAGAGCTTTAAGCTTCACCCACCGCGATGACACCCAAGCACACACAAGAGCACAGAACAATCCACACCACATTTCCCAGAAAACCAAGAGATGTCAAGTGAACAGAGAGCTGAGTGTTGACATAATGCCATAAACACACACATACACACACACACACACACACACACAC